TGTTTTTGTGTGTATCCGAGGGGTATAATTTTTTCACACACCCATCCGTACACGTCAAATCAGTAGTTTCAGGGGGTGTGTTAGTTAACAAAAATCCGACACTGAATGGTGGATTTGAATCCATAGGGTGTCATAACCTTAATATCCATCCGTAGGGGGGGGTGTGGATAAAAACTGGAATGACCCCTTGCCCACTGAAGCTGTCAACATAATGTCACTTAATTACTGTCACTTTCAGCAAGACACTTTTTCTTCAACATGAAGATTATCTCCAAATCGTGATGATCACGAGGTAATGAGACAAATTAAGGAACATTTTTGACACCCAAAATAGGAGGTCCGTGTACTTTCAGAACAGCCCAACAGCAAATTCTATGTTCATTTGAATTTGGGAGTGGGTTACTATTATTAATATTATTCGAGAAAAAAATGTAGACTTGCTATTTAAAATTCTTTCAAAATTTGTCGTTACAAAATAAAATTGTCAAGAATGACACGATACTGAAGTTACCTGCTTCTGACGATCATTTTTTTTCGATTCCATGATATGAATAACAACGTATTTAACGTTACATATACGGAGACAGCACATGTACAGAGCTAAAATCTAATTTCCGGGATCAGCTGTTCCCGTCTCGTAATGGTCGAGATCTGTGGGGTCAAAGGTTATGAATGAGAACTCGCCCAAGATCGAAAGATGGCGACTATGGAAGTACCGCTCTCCGAGAAGAAACCGCAAAAGACGAAGAAAAAAGGGCATAAGCATGCCACTCCAACAATTGAAGAACTGGTGGGCAATTATTTTGGTTCAATGAACTCAATGTCGAAGCGTATTATGGAAGAACAGGCGAAATGTCGCTATAATAATCGAAGAATTTGGAACAAATTGGACCAAGCCGAGAAGGATAGCTTGATAGATCAATATTTTGTAATCCCGCAACTCACAGAAGCCTACGAAGCGAATTGTGGAGTTGCAGAACCCGGACCAGACGTATTTCCCAAGTTGAATATCGTCGGTGGCGAAAGGGAGGTACAATATACGGACGAAGGATCGAGTAGTGAAGCAAAGGTACTATTCACATAGGTCTGACACTTCCGGTTTGATTAAAAAACGGAAGTAAACTTTAAATTACAATGTATTACAGCCGATGCTAGATGCTTACAACTTACTACAATATGTTACACACTTTGTTTTCACTTTTACAGAAGTTGTTACTGCCGGTACTGCAAAGAACGTTAATTAGAGTTATTTTGCAGTTGACTGGCTGATCATGGCAGAATTGTTGATCAAAGTTTTTTTTCCGAACATTGTAACTGAAATAGCCCACATGGCGTTCCATTCAACAGGACTGCTATGGTGGCTTTTTCATAAATGCAGTTCAGAAAAGAAAATTTTCATAATCCACCTCTGTCGAAAGTAAAGAAAATGTAACACATTATAACACATGGCAGTAAAAATGTATAATTAACTTATACCAGGGTAAGAATAGATTATAAAATGGTTGTACACAACTATAAGTTGTGTAAACCGAGTTTCGTAAAGGCATGTCCAATAGCTAATAATGTGTAATCGTATACAAATCTATTATTCAGGTTTCCTCTCAGCTCTGTCTGAAACATAGTTTGCATACATTAAACTGGGTTAACGCAGTTGAAATAAATAATCTAATGCCTTGTTGATTCAATAAATTACACAGGTTTTGCTTGACATGATGAGCGTTGTGAATAGGCAGTTGTTCATAATAACAATATCATCCAGGCTAAACATTGGTTTCGCATCTTGTTAATTTCAAAAACGGCTTCATGAAAAAAAAATTTAAGAGTTCATATTCATTTCTTGATGGCTCTTCAATTACATTAACATGATCGATACGAAACATTGCGACAATAATAAATTAGCTGTGAAAGTTTCAGTTGAGGGATAACGTTGGACTTTAATTGCACTGCATCCAACCATGGCATTCCATATCTGTTGTTTTTATTAGAAATGTTTCATCAAACTAAAGCAGACGACGTGGTTTATAATTCGACACGTTCTCCAGAAAATCTACTTGTCTGTCTTGTCTTATATAGTCATTGGTGCCCAATTCTGCTGGCACACTAGATATTTTCTTTCCGGTCATGTTTAGGCATCTCTGAACCGGGGAGGGTTGCCGCCATACATGCACCATCTTAGAATAATTTTTGCCGACCACAATTGCTCCATAACGTCATACCGTTGTCAGTTAGTTTTTTAGTCGCAGATTGGACACTTTCCTGGCAGATTACTCTCAGTGGTAACAAACTGTGTGACGATATTATAAGCTGTTTGCTTTGAAACACAACTTCAATGTCAAATCTCAGCAAATAACATAAACAATCCAAGAAAATACAGAAATCCACAACTTTATCAGCTTGGTAGAGTGTCGGATGTCCACCCGATAACTGATGATTAATCTTTTAGTGGCACAAGTGACTGAAAGACATACCCGTCACTAAGTCTAGGGGTATCTGAATTTGTATGTGCAATATCTGTCAATCATTCATCTGATATGCCGCTGATGTTTATATGTCTAGTTACAACTTATGTAAATTTCAAAACAAAGTGTGTAACCTATTGTAGAATGTAATCTACTAGTATCTCTAGAACTAATTCAGTGTCAAATCACTGTCAGAATTTGCATCAGTCAAGAGTGTGCACGTGTGCCACATTCGATTATACAAATTTTGCATTCGTCTGAAAGTGATAGTTTAACCAAATTTTTCTTTACAAAAAATGTATAAGATTAACAAAACACCCAGAATTTATGTTCTCATACATCATAATTATGCTTATGCATTATACAATGTCCTCAGACAAATTCTGTTATGTTATAGAAATACCCTTCTCAGATAGAGCTCAGGCAAAAAAGTTCAGTACACTCAATAAATTAGTGTCTATATCATGTATATTTTTTTTTAAATTACACACCAACCAGCACACTAGTCATGGATTAGAATTGGTATATAATATACTGTTAAATGATTTTCCAATTGTGTAAAATATAATGTTGTGTATTCTACTCCCTTTTCAGACATACAAATGGAAAGATGAGTTTTCTGGGCCATTTTGCTGGGAGACAAGGGTATGTTGTGTTTGTAGAGTGTTTTGAAAAAAAATAGAAACTGCTTATGGTTCAAAATTTTGTCCCTTGGTTATACATTTTGGCTGGATTTCCTTTTTCTTTATGTAAAATTTCTCTTATTCAGAGTCAGTTGAATGTGTCATTGCCAACACCTGATGAGGACATGGCTGCTAATCTACCAAGAACTCCCAAGCCGTCTGAACAAGACCTTATGAAATATAGAGCCGGTGATGATCATGATGAAACTGATGGAGCTAGCGAACACAGCATATGTACTACATCTCGATATGGTCAAAGTTCTGCAACAGGAACACCACGTTCACTTGGAAGACTTTCGTTTGATTTTGACTTTAACACAAAGGCCAGTTCTGAAGCCTCTTTGCAGTTCTCATTTGGTGGCAGTGAGTATGACAATGTAAGTGCAACACACTCTGTCGATAGTGGAGGTAGTTCCTCCAGCAGAGAGAGACTCATTGAAGAAGCCAAAGCCAAACCGAGAGACAGAACAAGCAGCAAAGAGACTATGGACACCTCTAGCAGCAGTGGAAGTTCTACCCAAGGTCACAGAGTAAAAAACGCTAAGGGGGAAGGATACCTACCACTGAAAGAGGAAAATTCACAGGTTAAGAAAACCAAGAGTCGAGAATCAGTAAAGGATGAGATTTACATTAATGAGGACATTGCTCAATTCAATAGACCATCATCAATCAATAGCGATCTAAAGGTATTGTTTGTTATCTCCATTTTATAATAATAAAGATAAAAATATACTTTTAATCCATTCTTGGGACTAACAGATACATGCAGAGTGCTCCATTGTAGATACAACTGAGAACACATACAGTGCAAAACTATAAGAACTGCAATACTACTCACTAATGCTTATTTTACTGAAAATAAAAATAACAAATTATTGAACCTTTTTCTCCTGTTCAAGTTCTATATACTCCCAGATTCTAATATAGCCTTCAAGTACCTTCTTAGGCCTGGTTTTTTAAATCCATACTAAAGTTACCCTAGTCTTTAAACTCTGTACAATGATACCAATAAACTAACAAAGTCAGTCCATCAGTCATTCTTCAGTTAATTAAGTAGTCAATAAAGTAGTCAACCCAAACTCTATACATATTGTTAGTCCCCGTTCGGACGCAGTCCGAAAACGGGGACTTATGTTTTGCCCTGTGTGCGTGCGTCTGTCCGTCCGTGATGATCTGTATCTCGAACATGCATGGACCGATTAAGTTCAAACTTCACTCATACATCACACATTATATGGGACATATGCACATGCATTTTTTTCATGATCTGATTAACGATAGCCGAATAGCGGCCATTTTAAGGCCGAAAATGCATCAAAATCGCACATTTTCACCATTCCGGACCCGGATCTCAGTTATGCATGGACGGATTTTGTTCAAATTTGGTACATACATTAAACATAATAGGACCTTGATGCACGTCATTTTTTTTTTTTGATCGGGTTCGAAATGGCCGACTGGCGGCCATTTTGTTTTAAAGAATTCAGTTCTGGATCCGTATCTGAGACATGCTTGGATTGATCGAGTCAAACTGA